AGGCGGGGTGCCTCACCTCGCCCTCCTTGCAGAATGGTCACAGCGGGACCTGGAGCGAGCTGAGAACGTCAAGTTCTGCCGCCAGTACCTCGTTTTCCACGATGGCCAGTCCATCGTGTACTCGGGGCCTGCGGGGACCTGCTCCGAGATCAAGGACGAGTGAGTCTCTGCACGGCACCTGAGAGGTCACAGAGCGTTGCCACCTCCCTCCACCATGTCCCCGGGGAGCTGGGACCGGCCTCCCCATGTCCCTGCCTCAGCCGTGCCCATGGCGCATGGCTAACGGGATGCTTTCCCCTGCAGGCTGCTGAGCAGGGAGTCCCCCAGTGGCACACTGAAGGCTGTCCTGCGCAAGGCCCAAAGCAAGGACAAGGAGAAGCAGTTTCTGGAGGTGAGGACGAGGGCTGAGGCAGGGCCGGAGGCGAGCCCTGGGCAGCGTAGGAGAAGGGTCCAGCCCCAGCCCCAGCTGTTCCACAGTCTAGTTTGGGGCTGCCCATGCCTGGTGTCTCTGCCCCTAGGTCTGGGATCAGAACCGCAAGGTGAAGAGCATCGACTTAACGGCTCTGGACAAGCACGGCAGTGTCTACGATGACGGTGAGGGGTGGGCAGGGAAGGGCCAGTGGCCCCAGAGGGTCCCGGCAGACAGGCCGGTTCGTGCCTGACCCCATCTCTCCAGATCAGTTTGGCTGCCTGGCCTGGTCTCACTCAGAGACTCACCTGCTCTATGTGGCTGAGAAGAAGCGGCCCAAGGCTGAGTCCTTCTTCCAGAGCAAAGCGCCCGAGCTGGGCAGCTCTGCTGAAGAGGACCTGGGGCACCCAAAGAAGCAGGATGCACCCATCAAGGTGAGGAGGCCAGGGCAACGATGTCCCTTCTGCCCTTGGCCAGCTCTGCCTCTGCTCGCCAGCTCTGGGATGCCCCGGAGCCATGTGGGTGCCCGTGGCACTGACAGGGTGTACATTGCAGGGCGAGCAGTTCGTGTACCACGAGGACTGGGGAGAGACACTGAGTACCCGCAGTGTGCCTGTCCTCTGCGTGCTGGACATTGAAGGAAGCAGTATCTCTGTGCTGGAGGGTATCCCAGAGCACGTCTCCCCTGGGCAGGTCAGCATCAGGAGGGGAGCCAACATCTCATCTCACTTTGCCTTGCCAAACTGGTGGGGCTGGATTTCTCCTTTGTCCAGGAGAAGAGAGATGATGAGAAAGAGAGGCTGGCCCTGGCTCGGGGCTGGACAGAGGGCACCCAAGCCCTAGCACAGGGTATGAGCTGCTCTCTTGCTCTGCCTGCAGGCCTTCTGGTCCCCCAGTGACACTGGCGTGGTGTTCGTGGGCTGGTGGCACGAGCCTCGGGGCCCGGCGGCCCTGCCCCACCCGCCGGTGAGTCTCGTGGCGAGCCTGGCTTGGTGGGGGCTGCCCCAACCCTCGACAGGGGCTGCCTGGACCCCCTGCCACCTCCTCTTGCAGTGACAGCCCATCTCTCCCCTTGCAGGTCAGCGCTATTCTATGTGGACCTCACAGGCGGGAGATGTGGTGAGCTGTTCACCCCTACGTCCCCCCGGCACCCAAGCCCCTTGCACCCCCTCACCACCACCTCATGCCCTTGCAGAGCTGCTCTCCGAAGACACCAAGGCCACGTGGTCCCCGCGACTCAGCCCCGACCAGTGCCGCATTGCCTACCTGGAGAACAGTGCCCTAGGCCCCCACCAGCAGTGCAGCCGGCTTCGCATGGTGAGCAGCATCCACAGGGTGCCACGGCTCTGTCCCCAAGCCAGACCTTGCAGGGTGACATTGTGGAGCTGGCAGTGCAGCCCAGAGCCATGCAGATGGAGCAGTGGGGCACCTGTGCCAGTGTCGGGGCTGGCAGGAGGGAGGTGGGTCCACCTTTCACAGGCTGGAGCAGAGGCAGGTGGGCTGAGACCCAGCAGAACTCATCACAACCCCACCATCTTGTGTCTCCCACAGTACGACTGGTACACCAAACGCACCTGCACTGTGCTCGAGGCTGTGTCCCGGCAGACGTGGGGTGAGTAGAGCCAAAGCAGGGCAGCCTCGGTGGCCAGCAGGCCCGGTGGAGGGGCAATGAGCCCTGCTGCTGAGCTCTGCTGCTCTCATTACAGGTGCTTTCCCCGGCATCTACTGCAGCGCTCTGCCGGGGCTGTGCTGGGCAGCCGACAGCCAGAGGCTCGTGTTGGACACTGCCCAGCGCAGCCAGCAGGTAAGAGCTGCGGTGCCCAGGGTGTGCTGCCTGCCACAATGTGGTGGGAGTTGGGTGCATGCAGGGTGGCATGAGGGGATGCCATACCTGGCACCGGGTTGGTTCAGGGCTCTGCTGGACTCTGCCCTTGTGCCCCTAGGACCTGTTTGTGGTGGACACACTGTCGGGCACCGTGACCTCACTGACAGCTGGTGAGTGCCACCTACCCACAAGGTTAGCAGGGCCCTGGCAGTGCTGGAGTTGGGGGTCCTGCAAGCCCTGACCCCTTTCCTCCCCAGATGCTCCCCAGGGGAGCTGGTCTCTCCTCACCATTGACCGGGACCTCCTGGTGGCCAGGTTCTCCACCCCTAGCTGCCCCCCCAAGCTGGTAAGGTGATGTCCCCATCCCCAGCACCTGCTGGCCCCTCTCTGCTGTGGCACTGACGTGGTTCCCCCCCACAGAAAGTGGCTCTCTTGCCCAGTGCGGGCCAGGAGGCCCAGGTGCAGTGGGTCTGCCTGCAAGACGTGCCCCCAGTGCCCGGCATCACCTGGGCTGTGCGCACCCTGCAGCCTCTGCCAGAGCAGGACAACCCGCAGTACGGTCAGTGTCCCGTCAGTGAGCGGGACGGGGAAGCCAGCGCCTGGGCTTGGCTGTCCCACCAAGGCCTGACTACCTTTGCTGCCTCCACAGGGGGCCTGGATTTTGATGCCATCCTGCTGCGGCCACGTGAGGGCCCCACAGCCCAGAAACCCCCACTGGTTGTAATGCCACATGGTGAGATTTCGCCCACTTCCATCACCATCCCCAACCCCTTCCCCAGCCAGACAGCTTCTCCCCTTTTGCCTTTGTCTTGTAGGGGGTCCCCACACTGTCTTTGCAGCCGGATGGATGCTGTACCCAGCTGTGCTCTGCTGCATGGGCTTTGCTGTGCTCCTGGGTGAGTCGGGTGCTGAGGAAGACGAGGCTATTGGGCTCCGAGATACTGCAATACGGAGTCCATGGGCCCTACTCCCTTCCTGCAGGCCTGGGACTGTGGGCGCGCTGTCGGCAGGCAGGGGGGCCAGGTGCTGCCTGGCTGGAGCAATTCTGCCTGCTGGCACAAGGCTGGCAGCCTTGTGGTGCCTGTGGCAGGTCTGGGGTGGGGGGAGCAAGGGGTGTGACACTGTCTTTCTCAGTGAATTACCGTGGCTCGCTGGGCTTCGGCCAGGACAGTGTGGCCTCCCTGCCAGGCAACGTGGGCACACAGGACGTGAAGGATGTGCAGGTATGGCCCTGGCGCATGATCCCTTCCCAAGGATGACCTGTGCCAGGCAATGGGGCCACCTGCTACCCTTATGGGCTCCCATGTCTGCCCTGTTGGCCCATGAGCACTCTGCACAGTTTGGGGAACCCGGGCCGTCCCTGTGTGCATGGGCATGTCCCTGCCTCAGCGAGTGTCCCGGGTGGTTGCAGCTCTGTGTGGAGCGGGTGCTGCAGGAGGAGATGCTGGACTCTGCCCGGGTGGCGCTGGTGGGTGGCTCGCATGGAGGCTTCTTGGCATGCCACCTCATCGGGCAGTTCCCCAACACCTACCAGGCCTGTGTGGTCCGCAACCCCGTGGTGAACATCGCCTCCATGGTCACCGCTACCGACATCCCCGACTGGTGAGTACTGCAGGCCCCAGTCCCACGGGCAGCCCCCAGCCCAGCATGCAGCCCCTGGCCTGGCATGGCTCTTGCCCCACAGGTGCCTGACAGAGACGGGGCTGCCCTATGCGCCTGATGCCCTGCCCGACCCAGCCCACTTGACGGAGATGCTGCGCAAGTCGCCCATGTGCTATGTTGACCGGGTACATGCCGTCACAGTCCCTGTCCTGTTCCTGCACCGGGCTCAAGACCACCAGGCCTGAGGCCGTGTCGCTCTCCTGCAGGTCCACGTGCCCGTGCTGCTGATGCTGGGGGAGGATGACCGGCGCGTGCCCCCGAGCCAGGGGCTAGAGTATTACCGTGCTCTCAAGGCCCGGGGCATCCCCACGCGGTGAGTGCAGTGGGTGGTGGGTGGTTTCCCAGGGGCTGTATGCACGCATGGCACTAACCCCTCTCCTCTCTTTCAGGCTGCTCTGGTACCCAGACAACAACCATGCTCTGGCTGGAGTCGAGGCTGAAGCCGATGGTTTCATGAACATGGCACTGTGGCTGCTCAAACACCTGCAGTGCTAAAGACACTGGCCCCCTGGAGCTGCAACCCCCCCAATAAAAAGTGCTGCTCAGCCAGCACAGGTGTCATCTCCGATGGTGGTGTCATCGCCGATGGTGGTGTCGCCTATGCTTCCAGCTCCCTGCGGGTTCACGGGTGCAGCGTGGTCAGTGCCTAGACGTCAGTGCCATGGGCCAGCATGGGCTGCAGCAGGGCAATGCCTGGCCAAAGCAAGCCCTGAGCAGTGCGGGGCTGGGTTGGTCCCTGCTTAGCAGCTGCAGGGAATGTGGGGAGGCCTCTCCGTGCCACAGTGGAGGCTGCAAGTGTCCTTGGGCAGCTTCTGGTGCCAGCGTGCAGCGAGCATGGAACCTCCTCAGTCCCCTTCTCTGGCATCCTGGGGATGAGCCCGAGGCAGCTGGAGGCCTGGCGTCAGCCCAGGTGGCCTGCCCGGCCCGGGCCCCTCATGCGCCAATGCTGCTTGCGCACGCCTGGCGGCCTGCCCGGCTGAACAGGCACAGACGCTGACGGGCTGAGCACAGAGGAGCAGGCCTCATGGCCTTGGGGGACAAGCCAAGTGGAGAGGTGGGCACGGGGTCCTGCATGGGCACGGGAGCAGGGGATGCCACTGGGAATAGCCCCATTTCGGGGGGCAGGGGGCTGGCAGGCAGGGGTTTCGCGGTGCCCACTGCCAGCGGCTGTCTTCCCACGCGCAGCTGGCAAGCAGCCTGCGTGCCATCACTGCCTGGTACCAGGAGATCAGCCAGTTCTCCTCCA